TCTTAACGTCTGGAATCCACACTTCCTAAGTAGACTAAATTTGTGGGCCTCTGGTTAATATTACTCTTGTCAAAAGTGGATTTTTAAAAAATTCTGGAATAAACAACACATTTCATGAATTAGTTTTAACCCTCAGAAAATCTGTGAGAATATAAATATAATTGAAAATTGAAGCATTTGTTCTTAATCTTGATTGAAAGACTTTAATCAGCATATCTGAAATTATAGCCTCAGAAAAATGTAGTATTTATGAGAGCACAGATCACAGAATCTATGTAAATTATGCCAGTACTGCCTAAATAAACTCTGAATTTTTTATATAAAAAAGACCATGTAGAACCCTGGCTAGGTGGCTTAGTTGGTTGGAGCATCATCCCGTACACCAAAAGGTTTCGGGTTCGACTCCTAGTCAGGGTACATACCTAGGTTGTAGGTTTGATTCCTGGTCAGAGTGTGTATGGGAGGCAACCAATGGATGTTTCTCTCTCACATCAATGTTTCTCTCTCTCCCTCTCACTCTCGCTTACTCCCTCCCTCTCTCCCTCTCTCCCTTCTCCTCTCTCTAAAGTCAGTAAAAACATATCCTCTGGTGAAGATTTTAAAAAAAAGAGTCTAGAGAGACAAATTCTTTGTTAAAGTAAATAGTATAGTTAAAGTATTACTCCTTTTTTATGCCCCCCAAATTAGCATTAGATCTGTATTCAGAATATTTTCTGATTGAAAAGTCTGCTATGTATTTTTCTTTGTTGAACATCTAAATTATTAAGGAAATTCAAGTGACCTTGCATCTTACTCTAAATGTTCAAAAAAATAAAAGGAATGGATTCCCTTGATACAGTCATGAAGATTTGTCCCAATATAAATTCTCTTAATAATGATTTTAAAGAATAAGGTATAAGAAGATGAAATTATGGACAAATGGATTGAAATGACTTGATTCAAAATTATGTTGACCCATAAAAGAAAGGGTTATTTTCAAAATATTAAAGGAAAATCATATCTAACCTATATTTGTAAATTAATGATTGCAGCATTTTAAAAACCTCTACTATTTTCATTTTCTGAAAGATGTTCATAAAGTTATTCATGTTGAGTGTTTGTAAATTAAAGTATATTTTTATATGCAACAAATTCTCTTATTTTTTAGAACTCAGTGGCAACTTCCTTTGTACCATGAATAATCAGACTGCTTTTTAAATTAGGCATTCTTCATTGGCTATTAAACTATCTTAAAATAGGGTACATCAGTATAATGAAAACGAAAAATTTATTTCCTAAACAACATTAATGTACTAATGATAGGATTTGTTTTCACTTCATATTGAGCTAATCCTGATAAGTGACAGATTAAAAAGTATCAGTGTTTAGTGAGGATTTTCTAGGATCTTGCATATTACCTGTTAAGTGAGTTGTAATATTTTAAAATAATTCAAAGTGTACTTTGTGGCTTGTTCTTTTCTTAGATGTCTCTTAAATGTAATATGACATACAGATGAGAAAACTTGCTCTGAAGACTCCCTTCAGTTTAACAAAAGCCACCCATTTCACAGATGATTTAACTTTGATTAACCTATTCCATTGTAACAGATTATTCCGACAACTGGAATTTCATTCTTTGGTGTTATTTCTAGGTGCAGCTTAATTTACAGAACAGCTTTTCTTCCCATCTCACCAAAATACATCACAATTTTGATGTTAACTTAAAGTAAAATTCAATGGTTCATTAAACCTAGTCTTAGCATTCATTGACAAGAGGTTTGTCATTTTAAAAGTAACTGCTACTTTTATGCATTCTTTACTGCTCAGTTTATAACCTTAGATTCCCTGTCAGAGAAAGCATGGAGTTAACCACTTAGCATATTGCAATGAATATTCATCAATAAATTGATGTGACATGGCAGTCCCATTTTTCAGTGTTCTTGTTCTGTTGCAGTCTTTTTCAGTTTTAAATATATTGTAGTTTATCATGTAATAGGGACTAGCTTAGATCTTTAGAATTGTAGTATTTTGGTTTTGTTAGTAGTTCTTTAGTAGCTATGGTATTTTTTTTTAAATAAAAGAAGTATATTTGTTTCAGAGAAACATTTTCTAATCTGATGTTATTGATGTTAGGCATTTTTGCCAAATATTTGGTATATATAGGTAATTGTTTAAGACCAGCTTTATAATGAAAATATTATATTTTGCAATTTATAAGAATAGCAGATCATTTGTTTTTATGTTCCTTGATATTTTATTTAGCTTAATCAATTTTATGAAGCTTGGGTTTCAGTACCTATCATAATTTTTAAATCACTTTTTATTCCATATGGAAAGGGAGGTATGAGTGTTCATTCTAAAATGAAATCCTGAAAACGTGTATTTAAATAGTTAATACTTATCATTCATCTATAACTAAAATAATCTATATAGACAAATAGGCATGGCAGATGCCATATGGTAGGCAGATACAGATCACTGTCTAACATACCTCATCTACATTTTAAATTTTAAAAGGAAAAGTGTCTATAAACAAGATCTTTTCTGATAAATATGTAGATTATGAGGTCACTTAGCACTAAAGTACTGACCATATGCATTATGACAGGAATTTGACACCTGTCATTGGAAATGGTACTGAGAAGTTGGATAATACAACAAAGTTGAGGGAGGAGAATATGAGGTGTAGGTAGGAGGCTATAATTTATAATGCATAGGGCTGAGGAATGACCTGTCCAGAGTGATGCAAAATCCCTGTCTCTGACTTTAGGAATTACATACAGTGAACCCTACTAGTAAACAAAATTGATTAGGATAATTGATAGTATTAGCAGAAAATGGGTATTTATATTCCCAGACTTAATTTTTAATTGAAGTAAATATCCCATTATTCTAAAAGTTAACTTTTAAGTTAAATGTAATTAAATTATTTTATTACATTACACTTGCAGGTGACATTATAGTAGAATTTCATTCTAATGTTTGAGCAGTAACATAGAATTACCAGTTATACTGTTTTCAGATTAATAATCTATAGTATATGAGAATTCATCTAAAAAGGAGCACTGTCTTTCTGTTTCTCTGTGTGATTATATTGTTCCAAAAAAGCTTTCATTTTTTAAGTAGCACAAAAGCTGTAATTGGCATGCTTTGTAAGGAAGTGTCAATGTGCAAGAGAGTGGCGATCACTAAGAATTCTTTTACGTGTTCTTTCCCCTTTGCACCACTGCCTCCCCAGCGGGGTCACTGAGATCACTAGCTTTTCTTGAAATGGCCATTTTCACTGGCAGGTGCATTATACCCTGTATTTTCAGATTGTTTTTCCATTCTGAATGTTTGGCAGGTTGATTGCTCTGGCTGCATTGACGGAGAAAGGGCTGACAAATGCGGTTGGGCTGGCTGAAAAGACAGTGATTACTGTTTTCCTTTGTGGCTGATTGAGGCCCTTGAAAGGAAAAATTTTAACCTTCACCATTTGGTTCAAAAGTATGAGCATATATTGAAATCACTCGTGCCATTTATCCTAGTTCTGTAAACTTGTCAGAACGTAAAAATCGCTCTATTTCAAGTAATGTAGGATTGGCATACGTCATTATCATTTTGATTAAGTTGGAGGTTGTATCATTGTGTGCATTATACAGTGTCATTTAAAGCTTTCTTTCCTACAGCTACAGTTATATTTTTATTGCTTATACTATAGAGTTAGAAAGATTTTCATAGCTCTCCAAACCTAACACTATGTGTGTGGTTTGGCAGCTGGTGTGGCCTACAAGCTGCATTTTGTTTGCAGGGCAAAGGCTTATCTGTAGGCCTCCTGGAGTGCGGGTAATTGCACGGGCTTGCCATTGGGGAGAGACAGGATTGGAAGCAGTCGAGCGGAAGAATGTTATGCCATCCCATTGCCACCTTGTAGCAGAAAGACACAATCCCAGCAGTGCCATCTGGTTGTTGCTATCTAGTCAGCTGGCCTGGCTGCTGGGACCGTGACTTGGCAGCTGGTTCCCATCCTTGACTATTCTTTTGTGTACGTCGTATGTATGTGTGTTTTAGATAATTTTGAACATGGGTCAGAGAAATGACTATAACTAACAAGTAAAGTTCCCTTGTTGAATAGGCTCTCATTACTTGAGATGCACTCTGCTGTAGATGCCTGCTGCTATCCCCTTATAGACAAATGACACATCTGTTTAGGCAAAAAAAATAAATGTTTTCTCCATAAAAATCCATCTCAGTAGGTAGTGAAAGAGAAGATAGGCAGAGTTGTATGTTCTATAACATTTTAAAATAAGTGATTTTAAATTATTTCCTGGTTTGGGAATATAGGAGGATGTTTGGTAATAAATAAAAAAAAGTCTTATAAATGTTGTATATAGTCTCAATATATATTTTTATTCAAGAAAACATTAAGTGCTTATTGCCACATTTTGTAACCGCAGATAATGAGACTTGCATTTAAAATGACAGAATAGAAAATGTAGTCTCATAGCTATTATCTTTAAAATCTGCCTCTGAAATAGCAACCTGAGAGTTAATGTAAGCCGTCTTTATGCCATATGAAGACCCATTAGACACTGATGGTTTCAGATCACAAGTAAGCAGCCAGCTCTGTAGGCTATTTTAGACATTTGATTTTCTTCATTCTGCAGCATTAATGTGTCAGCATGCTACATAAAACTATGCAGGAGTTGCATGTTGTTCTGTCTGGAATGATAAATGCTTGCAAGCTTTTAGAGATTTCCATGAGGAATTCATCCTAGTTGCTTACATATCTCATTTCAGTTTCTGTAGCTACAGAATTCGGTATGACTGTTGATAAGGTACCACATAGGTATGTATAAAACCAGGAGATTCTACTTAATGCTTTCTCACAGTTGTGTTGATAAAATTTGTATTATTTGTACTCGTTCTGTCTTATTGGTGGTTTGATTTTGCTTTTATGTAAAGAGTTGTGATACCTTCTGCACATTACCTCAAAAATTATCAGTGATTTTCATAAAAATAATTTTTGTTCTGTTTTTCAGATGAAGAAGAAGATGATGATGTAGTGACTCCTAAACCACCTATTGAACCCGAAGAAGAGAAAACTTTAAAGAAAGATGAGGAAAATGATAGTAAAGGTATCTTAAAAAATTTAACTTTAAAAAATTTTGTTGATTCCTATTAAGATTTCCTTTATTGTTTATGTATGAAAGTAGAATAAAATGCTCTAAATCTAAGAGCTGAATCTGGTTGAAAAAGAATGTGTGCCATTCATTGATCCAAGCTGTAATAGTGAACTGACCTGATTTGGCTCACATAAATCAGACTACAGGAAACATTTGTTTTCCAGCTCCCCCTCATGAGCTGACTGAAGAAGAAAAGCAACAAATCTTGCATACAGAAGAATTTTTAAGTTTCTTTGACCATTCCACAAGAATTGTAGAAAGAGCTCTTTCTGAGCAGATTAACATCTTCTTTGACTACAGTGGAAGAGATTTGGAAGACAAAGAAGGGTAATGTTTAATTGCTAAAATTGTGGCTTCAGCAATATTAAATTACTTTAAGATTAAGAGTGAGAAGTTCTAACATCATGTTTTTTTTTGGTTTTGGTCTTTTCTGTAGAGAGATTCAAGCAGGTGCAAAACTGTCACTAAATCGACAATTTTTTGACGAACGTTGGTCGAAGCACCGGGTTGTTAGTTGTTTGGATTGGTCATCTCAGGTAAATTATAACAAAACTGGTTCCTGTTAACTCATTTTTTTTCTTCTTTTTTCTTCCTTTACTTTTATTTTATTTTACTTTTATTGAATTTATTGGGGTGACATTGGTTAATAAAATTGTATAGGTTTAAATGTACAGTTCTATAACACATCATCTGTATATATTGTATTATGTGTTCACCACCCAAAGTCAAGTCTCCTTCCATCACCATTTATCTTCCCTTTACCCTTTCTACCTCTCCCCACCCCCGTTTCCCTCTGGTAATCACCATAGTGTTGTCTGTGTGTATGAGTTGTTGGGGTTTTTTGGGGAGGGGGGTGTTTTGTTTGTTTTTTGTTTAATCTGTTCACCTTTTAATTGTGGAAACATTGTGTGGTTAAATCAATATATATCATTTAAAATAATAATGGATTATGGCTCTAATGTTTTCTTATTCATTTTGTTTTATATGCTGTGGAAGAAAGGATTGGAAACATTATTTATATTTAAAACTCAAGGTTTTATTTATGATAATACTAATTACTAATTTCAATTGCTCACCAAATCCTTTGGATAAAATTGCAACACATATATGAATGAAGTTAATGAAAACATTTTAATTAAAAAATTTTATATAACTACATTAAAACATTTTAAATAACTAACTGTACTAATCTAAGGTTGTACTAATATCCCAGCGAACGTAACTCGAGATATCTTTTTTGATGAAGTGTTAGGTATTTGTACTTTCAGAATAATTTCATAAAAACAATTGAGTAACTAGGAATATAAAAACAGTTATTGTCATAGCATTTTTTCTACTTGATTTTTGTGAGCAGTATCCAGAGTTACTCGTGGCTTCCTATAATAACAATGAAGATGCTCCTCATGAACCTGATGGTGTGGCCCTTGTATGGAATATGAAATACAAAAAAACTACCCCAGAGTATGTATTTCACTGCCAGGTAAGATGGTCTTTTAACAGCCTTCCGCAAGTTTAAGAATTCATTAATGAATTAGGCGAGTGCCTCTTTCTTTTCTTGTCAACATAATGATTTCACTGGGTTGGCATTTACTAAACCACCCCATATTTGCAAACAGATGTTAACAGAAAACTGAAGACTTCTCAGTTCAACATGATCTGCCTTTTGTAGCGTTTCTGACACCTCTTATAATGTTTAATCACACCTAAAGTTCTTTGCAGTTGTGATTTTCTATTATTGTGATTGATTCTATAAAAGAAATCTTTTATAAAATGTCTTTTCTGCAGGAAGTTTCTTAGGAACTTATTTGCTGAACATACAATTAGACTGTTGGCCCACTGAATTACTTATACATGGCCTGAGGAGTTGGAACTAGATAGTTTTAAGTAGAAACATATGTTTGAAGTAGGAAACAGATGCAGAGTTTTAAAGTGGATTTACTGGAAGGTTAGAATTTACAAGCCTTTTTTGGTTGCATAAGTTATAATCTTTTAATAATAATATAATTCTGAAAAAACACTTAATTGAATCAAAACTAACATGTACTCTGTTGTCAGATTATTGTTAGAGGCTAATGCAGAGCCAGTTATCTTTTGATTTAATACTGTAATCAAATGAAATAATTTTTTACTTTCTTTATAAATTACTTAAACATTTATGTAAATAATCATTGCATTTGACTTTTAAGCAAAAACTATTCTAAAGATAAAGTTTTATATTCTAGAACAAACAAAAATTTTTAATGAATTTATTTACTTGTTTTTATAACCTCTAATGCCTTACAATAAAGGGAAAAATTCTTTGGATATAGATTTATTTTTATAACTTGTCAGGCTTCGGACATTCGAACCTTAAGTATAAAAATCTTACTTATTTGCAGTCAGCTGTGATGTCTGCTACATTTGCAAAATTTCATCCAAATCTGGTTGTTGGTGGTACGTATTCAGGCCAAATTGTGCTATGGGATAACCGTAGCAATAAAAGAACTCCAGTGCAAAGAACTCCACTGTCAGCTGCTGCACACACAGTAAGTAACGGGGTTATTTCCATTAGACTTGTGTGCTCCTTCACCATTAAATACTTAGTAGTGTCCATCAGAGTAGTGTCAGGATGTGTTTCCTTTGATGTGTGAATTCCTCATCATTTAGTAACCAAGAGCAAAGGCCTTTTTTCCTGTATTTTTGAAAATTTGTTTTATTAGAAACCCATTTCTCTTCTGAGACAACCTTTTGTTAACAGAGTAGCATCAAACTTCACATTAAAAATGCCCTGAAGATATGAGACTGTTTTGATATGAAACAATATCTGTGATTAGCAGCAAAAATTATTTCACTTTTTGGTGAAATAATTCCAGAAAATCTTAATATCTCTTTCTTCAGCATCCTGTATATTGTGTAAATGTCGTTGGAACACAAAATGCTCACAATCTAATTAGCATCTCTACTGATGGAAAGATTTGTTCGTGGAGTCTGGACATGCTTTCCCATCCACAGGTAGGTTCATCTTGGAAAATGCTGAAATTTTGAGGCAAATGTTACTTTTCAAGTCTGTTTAAACCCCAGCTTATGTTTTTCATAAATGTTTTATAGTGGTATTACGGCAACAGTTTATAAACCTAAACATGTGTTAAATGTAGTTTGTTGTATAAATACTTTATTTTCAAACCTGCTTCACTTAATCAAAGACAATTTTTATAAGTAGTATAATAAAAGAATGGTTTACAAACCAATTAAAACTAGAAATTTTTCTTAAAAAATTAAAAGTTGCAAATTTATAAAGTAATTTCCTTAATTTTTGATATGCAGGATAGCATGGAATTGGTTCATAAACAGTCAAAGGCAGTAGCTGTGACATCTATGTCTTTCCCTGTTGGAGATGTCAACAACTTTGTTGTTGGGAGTGAAGAAGGCTCTGTGTACACAGCATGCCGCCATGGCAGGTACCTGTAAACTGGAATTTGCAATTATTTAAAATTATTCTTTGAATAATCTCATTAAAACAAATTGCCTCTTATTTAAGTAGCAATCTATCCCAGAGCCACTCATTATTTGTGACAAATTATTTGAGGTCAGGTATATAAAATTAAAACAAATACTTTTTAAAAAATAAAAGGTTATTTTGGATCAGGATGTATTCTGAATTTTGAGGGTTGTGGTGTGTTGTGGTTTTGTATGTGTACACGTGCTCATGGAAGTTGGTGGGAAATAGCAGTCAGCAATTGCAAATACCGTATTCAGATGCCACATACTGACCTTTAGAATTGTAAACAAGATTTTTCAGTTTTTCAGTTGTTTTCCCATTGTATTTGGACTTTAAGCTTTAGTTCAATCCTCCTGATAATTGTACAGTAATGTCACGTATACATTTTAAATTGACTAGTATTTCTCCTGCTGTTCAGTCTGTTTTGAAATTGTCTAGCTGTACCTTATCAATTGCTTCCTTTAAAAAAAAAATTGAATGCCCAGTTTTCATCTCAAATACAGATCGCCTTCACTTCAAAGCTTTTGATTTAAAAGTAGCCCAGATTTTCTCTTACATGTAGCATCCCTTTGTCTCTATTCCACCACCTCAGATATTGAACTTCTGAGTTCTGTCTTCAACAGCATGATGTTTATGGTTCAAAAATGTACTTATTGCTTTAGTAGTGTTATCAAATAGAGTAACATTCAATTTCAGTTATTCTGATATGTTATGAGCACAGAGTTAAGTTTGTTGAAATTATGTCAAAGTCTGATATATAAACTGTAAAATAATGTATTTGTAAGTGGTCATCTTACAGAGATTTCTCTAACATTTTCATTTTCACTTTTATGAAATAGCAAAGCTGGAATCAGTGAGATGTTCGAAGGACATCAAGGACCAATCACTGGCATCCATTGTCATGCAGCTGTTGGAGCAGTAGACTTCTCACATCTTTTTGTCACTTCATCATTTGACTGGACAGTAAAACTATGGACAACTAAGGTATCTAAAAACAGATGTCTGCTCATTTGCTTAGGTTCCTAACACAAGGTGGTGCTCTAATACTACATAGGAAAGGTGAAAAGCTTTCTAATAGCATGATTAACTGATAGATCAAATCTGATAAGTTAGATGTAACATGAGTGAGCTACTAGAAGCTGAAGTTTTCATAAAAAATGTGTTGACAAGTATGATAACCCCACATACAACCAACGACCAGTCTTCCAACCATTTCAGGTTTTTCAAGCACAGAACTGTCTACCCTGAACTGAGTTGGAGAGAAAGCCCCTGAATATCTCATATAGCACCTCCCATAGTTGTCATACAGCCCAGCACAAAAGTCATACATTTTCTCTTTGGAGAGCTTTATACAAAATGGAGAAAAGACAGATAAAAACTGATGTACAGTAAGTCCTGGTAAATTAAGAGGTAGACCTGGTAAATTAGCTTAATGTTCCATTACATTTAACTATACATGTTACAGATTACTCTTAAAATATAAGAATGAATTATTTGGAAAACAAAATGTTTTTAAAGTACACAGTCTTTAAAGTTCTAGTCTCAGAACAATGCCTATCAGAACCATATTTACCATAAAGTGACAAAATTAAGATTAATATGGTAATTTCTTAGAATTGGTAGTTTGCAGACTTTTGTAATCTGTACACACCCTAAAATATTTTTACAATATCTGATTCTTACACCCTTCCTCACTTTAACAACTTACCTATTTAACTCTAAAAATACAAGCATTAAAGCAGGGTCAAAGAGATTTTACTAATTTTTGGAATAGCGACTGTGCACGTATTAGACATATGAGGTTGGGGTGTTTTGGGGGGAAGCTTACTAACCATTGGGACTTAGTGGCAGCATTTACCATAGTAACTTGGTGCTGACCAGTGTCCAGTCTGTCCTTCACTTATTTAGAAAATTTTCTCAGTCTACTAGAGTTGATTAGCTAGGAAGTGCTGACTGGAACTAACAGGCTTCTAACACACTGATACATTGGAGAAAGTCAATTTATTAATTTACAGTGAGAAATAACTGCCAAGAGGCCCAGATACTCATGCTGGCCTGACCAGCTCATTGTTTCCCTGTAGACAACCCACATGGGAAGCCAAATTATAATCAGAGGATTGCTTAGTGAGCAAGGAATTGGAACAAAAGAAGTTTTCTAATTTGAATGTTTAATGGCATCAAGCAAAGATATCATGATTCATTCAACTTCACATAGAGATAGTCTTGCCATGGGTGGTAATTCTCAGAGATGGTTGACTGAGACTCTGTCTCTCCTGGACAGTGCTTGCATTGGATACTGTCTGTATTTTTGTTGTAAGACTCTGCTTCTTTGTATTTCCACTGTTTTTAATAGACACATTTCTTCTCAAAAAGGTAGTATTGTCAGTCAGGTTATAAAGAAGGTATTTCTGACCTTGGAATCATTTCTTTTAAAAGAGGATCTGTTTATTTCTCTTCTGATCCAAGTGAAGATGTATTTCCCAGTTCTCTTGAGAGGACCTCACTATTATGTCCATGTATTTACTATAGGGACTCTCTGGTTGTTAATCTAGATCTATCCAGTTACCCCAGAAAAATGCAGAATTACTATATTTGTTCCCTAGGGATACTGGAACAAATAACCACAAACTAGGTGTCTTTAACACAACAGAAATTTATTCTCTCACAGTACCAGAGGCCAGAAGTCCAAAGTCAAGGTGTTGGCAAGGTTGGTTACTTTTGGAGGCTCTGAGGGAGAATCTGTTCCTCTGTTCCACGCTTCTTTTCCTAGCTTCTGGTGGTTGCCAGCAGTCTTAGTGCTACTTGGCTTGCAGCTGCATCACCCCAGTTTCTGCCTCTGTCATCACCTGGTATCCTCACTGTTTGTCTCTGTCCAAATTCTTTTCTTCTTTTAAGATCAACAGTCATGCTAGATTTAGGGCCTGCCGTAATGCAGTATAACCATAGCTTAACTTGATTATGTTTGCAAAGATCCTGATTCCAAATGTCATCACATTTATAGGTTCCAGGTGGATATGAATTTGGGCGGGGGACACTATTCAACCCAATACATAACTGTAAAGAACTCAGAAAAAAATACGGTTTGTCCCTTGACCATATAGTGTTAACTGTCGCCACTGTACCAGAATTAGCTACCTTTTCGCATTCAAATACTATCAATCATTCAAAGGAGCCCTTTGTTTTGATTCATTCTTTTGACAAATATGTCTGCATACCTTTTCTTTGTAAGCATTTTAGAGCTGCAGTGACCTTGGGACATTATCTAGTTCAGTGGTTCTCAATTTGGATTGAATGAGAATCACCCAGGCAATTTTAAAACTTTCAGTGCTTACCTCGCAACCCCAGGCTAAGAAAATCGGAATACTGTATGTAAGGGGGACATTAAGGCAATAGCATATTTTTTAACTTTCTAGGGATTAGGGAATTTCAATATAAAACCTTTGTTTTATAAATTAGGAAATAGGTAACCAGAATGATAGTGACTTGCCAAAGCCTTAAAGCTGGGTATTGGCAGCCCTGAGATAAGAGTCTATGTGCCCCTCTTCAACTCTTCCCTGCTGCTACTCTTCCACTTAGGTAGAAGTTCTCTTCAAGTTAGGAAAAAATACTACGATTAAAAAGGACTTTAGCCCGGCCTGGCGTGGCTCAGCGGTTGAGCATTGACCTAGGATCCAGGCGATCGGGGTTCGATTCCCGGTCAAGGCACATGCCCGGTTGCGGGCTTGATCAATGACTGATGTTTCTCTCTCTCTCTCCCTTTCCTTTCCTCTCTCTGAAATCAATAAAGATATATTTTTTTTTAAAAAAAAAAAGGACTTTAAATGATCTGTTTGGGGTTTTAATTTGCAGTGTCATATATAAAATTAATATATTATGAAACAATAATTGGTGTCAAGTTTGTGCTTTCTTTCTCTTTGGGGGGAAATTATTAATCCTTAGGTGACCATGTTTTTAAAATTAAACTTGAAAAAAATTATAAAAGATCTGCAATAACATTTTTAAAAGTTGGGAACATGTTACCATTTATTGTATTTTTATTTTTAATATAATTTTTCACCCAGTTATATCCTGCTTTTTTCTCTGGCTGCATCATAATCCACTAAGTAGATGAACATTTTAATCTAATCCTTTCCTGGGATATTTAGCAACCTCCTTTTTCATTATAAATATAAGTAAGTTTTAATCTAATTTGTGTATAATTTTTTACATATTTTATAAAAAAGAATTATACAATACATATGAATTTGTATCTGGCTTTTTTGCTCAACATTGTTTATGAGATTCATGTTATTGAGTGTAGTTGTAGAGTGTTAATTCTCTCAGCTGTATACTATTCCATATGTATATATACCATAATTTGTCCATTCTACTGCTGATGGTATTTGAGTTGATTACAGGGAGCTGTTATAAGTAGTGCTGCTAAGAGCATAGTTGTAGATGTCTTTTGATGGGCATAAGCACTCGTTTCTGTTGAGCATCTATGTAGTAGTGAAATTCTTTGCCATAAGATATGTATAATTCTGCTTTAGTAGATACTGCCAAGCAATTTTCCAAAATGATTCTACCAGTTTATAATTTACCAGTAGCATATGAAAATTTCCTTTACTCTGCATCATTGCTAACACTTAGTATTCTCTGCCTTTCTTTCATTTTAGTCATTCTCATGAATGTGGTTACATTATGTTGTGGTTTTAATTTGCAATACCTTGAGACTAATGAGGTTAAGCACCTTTGCATATGTTTATTGGCCATTTTGTGAAGTGCCTGTTCAAGTCTTTTGTCCATTTTTCTATTGATAACCCCTTCTTTAGAAGATTATGTAGACCAGTACATATTTTTACAATTGAGCATGTGAACATGATTGTGTATAACTTCTGTTTTAAGTCTTTGATGTCTCGAGACCATAAAATTGCCTGAAAATGGGATATTTTTGAAGATACAGTCACCTCAGGAGTGATAGATTTTAGCATGGTGGTTCTTTTTTCTTTTTTTTTTTTTTAAACGTATCTTTATTGATTTCAGAGAGAGGAAAGGAGGGGGAGAGAGAGAGATAGAAACATCAATGATGAGAGAGTCATTGATCGGCTGCCTAGCCCGCAACCCAGGCATGTGCCCTGACCGGGAATCGAACCCCGATCTCCAGGATCCTAGGTCAATGCTCAGCCGCTGAGCCACACCTGGCAGGGCAGCATGGTGGTTCTTAATCACTGATGTTCGTCAGAATCACTAGTGAAGTAATAACATTGATGAAATGCATTGAGGGTGGGGCGCTGTATCTGAATTTTTAAAAAGCTCTGCAGATGATTGTGATACCCATCCTAAATTAAAAACCACTACTTCAGAGTGAGACTTCCTCTGGATTGTTGCCAAAGAGAATGATAGGAAAATAATGATTTTAAGAGGGGAGAAAACTCTTAGTTTCTGTTTTTAGCTTACAGTTACTTATAAATTTTGCTAAAAATTTGTTTTCTTAATTACAAACAAACATTTTTGGATATTAAGATAATCATGCTGTTAACACTTACTGTGATATCTGAAATTTTTAAATTTATATTTTTAAACTTTTTATTGTGGAAAATCCCAAATAGATAGAAAAGCAGAGAGAATAGTGTAACTTGCTATTATTTGTTTGAAGCAGGATCCAAATAAGGTTCATATATTTGCAATTGGCATATCTTTTGAGGTCCTCTCTTAAAATAGGGTTTCCTTTCTTCTCTTCTTGCTTTGTTGTTGAAGAAGAAACCAGGTTGGTTGTGCTATTAGAGTTTCTCACAGCCTGGAGTTTGCATTCTTATGTTATTGTTCATGCTGTTGTGTATAGTTGTAGATTATTTGTACTTCCAAAGACAGAAGCTTAACCACAAGAAGCACTTGGTATCTGTCTCCCACTCCTGTTGATGTCTCTTCGCTCTTTGTTCATCTGAAGCTTATTCTGTGGTAGATTTTTCAGGGGGTGCTCATAATGCATTTTTCCTATATTCACAATGGTCTGTCTGGTTATGAAGTTCAGTTTGGCTGTATATAAAATCTATGATTTACTTTTTTTTTTTATTACCTGAATATGTTACTGTATTCAGTGCTTCTGACGAAAGCATTGTTGTCAAAAAGTCTGATGAAAATCTGATTTTCCTTTCCTTGTGACTTGGTCTTCTTAAAAAACCTGGATGATCAAATGATTTTTTCTTTTTCTTGATTGTCCTAGATACATAAGATACTCTTTGATAAGTAATTTCAAACTGTCTTTTATTTTAGGGCAATTCTCTTGAATTATAAATTTTTGTAATGTATTGTATTGCTTTGACTTTCTTCTTCAGTGGCTGGCATTATAGGTATATCTTCATTAATCTTTGTCATTTCTTTATCTTTTTGTGTGCTCTTTTGAAAATAACAGTGTTATTGAGATATAATTCATATGCCATAAAATTTAACTTGCTAAAGTGTAAAATTCAGTGGTTCTTAATATATTCACAGAGGTGTGTATATACTATGTAACTTTAGAACATTTTCAAATTTCAGAAGGAAACCCTGTATCCATTGGCACTCATTCCTTGTTCCCCCTCCCCTAGCTCTTGAGACTACTAATGTACTTTCAATTTCTTTAGAACTTCCTATTATGACAATTCATGGACATTTCATGGAATCATACAATATGTGACTGTCTTCTTTCATTTTGCATAATATTTTTAAGGTTCATCCATGTTGAGCACGTGTCCATGTTTTATTCCTTTTATGGCTGAATAGTATCCCATTGAATGGATATACCACTTTGTTTATTCATTAGTTGATGAACGTTTGGGTTGTTCCCACATTTAGGAAGAATGGTGTTATGAACATTTACAAGGTTTTGTGTGTACATATGTTTTCATTTCTCTTGGGTATATACCTAGGAAAATCGTTGGGTCATATGTCAACTCTAAGTAGCATTTCGAGGAACTCCCAAACTGTTTTTCAAAGCAGCTACACCAATTTACATTCCCACCAGCAGTGCCTGAGGGCTCCAGTTTCTCACAGCCTCATCACCAACACTTGTTTTTGTCTATCCTGAAATGAGATCTCATTGTGGTTTTGATTGGCATTCCCCTGATGGATAATGATGTTGAGCATTTTTTCAAGTGCTTAGTTGCTATTTGTAGTTCTTTGGAGAAATGTATTCAGATCCTTTGCCCAATTTTTAATTGGGTTATTTGCCTTTTGTTAATGAATTGTAAGAGTTCTAGATACAAGTCATTATCAGGTATATGATTGTCAAATGTTTTCTCCCATTGTATAAATTCTCTTTTCACTTTCTTGAGGGTATTGTTTGAAGCACTATAGTATTTAGTTTTGATGTAGCCGAACTTAATACTTTTGTTGCTTGTGCTTTTGGCTTCCTATCTGAGAAACTATTGCAGAATCCAAGGTCACAATGATTTACTCCTATGCTTTCTCTTAAGAGTTTTATAGTTTTACCTCTTATACTTAGATCTGTGGTACATTTTAAGTTAATTTCTGTGTGAGGAAGGAGGTGCCCAACTTCATTTTTCTGCATGTGCATGTTCACTTGTCCCAACATCATCTGTTGAAAAGACTGTTCCCATTTAATTGTCGTGACACCCTTATTGAAGGTCTGTCAGGATCACTTTGTATGGGATTTGACTAAGGTACTTTTTTGTTGCTTATTTTCTACTAGTGAAATGAGTTTTTCTTTACGTTTAGGAGGGAGGGAATAGGAAAAGATAGCTTTTCTAGTTGCATTGTCTAGGTGAAAGCTCTCCTGTGTTTTTTGCAAAGCTGATATATCTTTTTCTGCCTGTCTCTTTATCTGAAATATGTCTTTTCTATATATCTTTATCTATCTGTCTATCATCTATCTATCTATCTATCTGGCTGGCTATCTTATCTATCATCTATCCATCTATCATCTATCTAGATCTGTCTATCTATCTATCTATCTATCTATCTATCTATCTATCTATCTATCATCTATCTATCAATCATCTATCTATCATCTCTGACATACGCCTTTTCTGTTCCTCTTCACCACTTGTATCTGAACTTTCTCTTTCCTTTGTCCCTATTGTGCTGTATTCCTCAACTTGGATACTTCTCCCAGCAGTTTCTCTTTGGTGAGACTTTATCTTGAAAGGACACTTTGGCTTGTTAATTTTGAGAGTTTATAGGGCTCAGACTGCACCATTAGACCTTACTTATATCATATGGAGTCTGCTTGCATTTATTTATAAATGGAATGTCAAACTCCCTCACAGTTTCTGCTGCTCTTCTCAGACTGGCCCCCATGCTGTCCACTGAGCATCTGCCACTGACTGTGAGGCTCTCCTGTTCTGTTCTCTGGCTGTCAGAGCCCTCATGCCTTCCTACATGTCTTCCCTCATAGACTGTACTTGTCAGAGGTTTGTTCTCCCCTGCTTACATTTGGAGCTTTGTCTCCTGATTTTGTTGTAGATGTTGTCTGTGAATCTTTGATTTTGCCATTCTTTATTTGGGTTTATGGGGAGATTTAGAGGAGATTTAAAAAATACAGTGCCATTGCTATCATCTTCCTAAAATCCTCTCATTAACAAATATTTATAAAGCACCTTGTATTCCTTTTTTAAAACAGTATGGTATCTGTAAGTTAAAAAGAAAATGTAATCCAGTAGTTGATTCTTAGTTCCATAACTCCAGATAATTCTATAGTGAACAAATTATAAGAACTTTTCTAGCCTAAGTTAAATATCATAAAATGTTATATCTGTTGAATGTATGTCATATTTTGACTGAGCTAAGAATCAACTTTTCCCTTTCAGAATAACAAGCCTTTATACTCATTCGAAGATAATTCAGACTATGTTTATGATGTTATGTGGTCACCCACTCACCCAGCCCTGTTTGCCTGTGTGGATGGCATGGGGAGGCTTGATTTGTGGAATCTCAATAATGACACAGAGGTAAGTGGGAAAAATAAAAAAAATTTCACTGAAAAATAGAAAATTGGAGAGTTATTGAATAATTTATGAAATTCTTTTTATCCCAAGGAATGTAAAAGGGCTCTGTGAGTGTAGCATCATCACAAAGAAACCAAATAAGCTCTGTACCCTAAATAATAAACAGCATGCTGTGCAGAGCTGAAGCGAGAAGTAATGTTGTGAGGAGCACTGGGCATTTCCTTTTACTTCTGAAAGGCACTATGGTGTTTCTCGTGTCCTGCCAAAATCTCATTCATAAGGCAACAGGAATATTTTTCATTTATAGGCTAGAAAGCAGAGAGTTTCAGACTCTTTAAAGTATGTAAATCTTAATTCTGACTTTCTAAGTTCTTTCTTAGCCTTCATAGAATTGTATATCATCCATAAAACATTAGTCTTAGCCTGACGTATTTGAATGAAGGAAAAATGTATTTTGATAACTTGTTCCATGAAAGAGTGAAAATATTGTTACTGTTGAGATAAAATGAATATAGAAACCATCAAATTTTCTAATTGCTGTACTAAAATCACTTGTTGGCAGTGACATTTCTCTGCAGCTATTGTTTATTTTTAGCCATGTGTATTTTTACCAGCTTAGAGAAGCTTAAAGATGTTCTTAGAATTCTGTATTGCTATATGGTGGTAAGAAGTAATGTTAGCAGTCCTCTCAGTGACAGTTGAGGAGAAAGTCTCTTGGTTGCTTCCCCACATCCTACTCATTCCCACATCTCTTTATATTTCAAGTGGTATCTGTCCAAATCCTTTGAAGTAAAATAGTTGGTTATACAGGACAAAGAAGTTATATATTGGAAATATAAAGATTTTAACACTATGCTAACTACTTGTTTAGTACTTTGAGGAAGAACATTCAGATACTGCTAGGAAAAGATATTAAGCCCTAGCTAGGTGATTGGACTTGATTATATATCACTGGTTACTAGAATGGTACCAATTTTACTTTCTTAGTTTCAGTTTTGGTATTAGAGATACGTGGTTACAATTAAATTTTGATCTCTGCTATAATCATAAACTCAAATAATACATCTTAATTATAATTTTTCTCTGTAACAGTTTTAAAATGCTATGGGGTTAAATTTATAATTTGGGGATAACTAGTGTAAATTAGAAGGATTATTTTTAGTCAGATTTCAAATTTTAAAAAATTTGTATTGTGCTCTGGCCTGAGCCACATTGAATGGTTGTTCTGTGTGTGACAAGTAAATCTCTTTTCTTCAGCACAGGAGAGAGACAGATTGGGGGGTCTGGTGCCACTGTTTTGGTCCATCAGTCTCCCTGCTCCCGACAGCTCATGCAGTGGGGGCTGTCAAAGAACTCATACTATATCTTCAGTATGAACTGTTCCCAGGGACTGTGGATCAAATCGCAAGTTTCAGCTGACAGATGCAAGCTACAGAAGTCATTCCTCTCCTCTAAAGTTGAACCATAATCTGTTTATGAGGGCTTTTGAAATGTTGCTTTAAAATGGGGTTTTGGCCATCTGATGTCAGACAGCTTGACTTCTTAAAGAAGTTAAAACAACAAAGAATGTTTTATTAAAGAGAAGATCCCTCAGAATGATGCATCCATCATGTGAGAATTTCTTATCTAAAGATTTACATTATTTTCCCAAACCATTTTCAAGGATTGACTATAATGTCATTCAGAATGTATCACTGAACAGGAAGAAAGTTGGAAAATTCTTTACCTGTTTTCATCTTTGTCTTTAAAAATGTAGCCAGGTTGGAAGAAAGAAGAATTACTATTTTCCATATTTATAGAAATCTTGATGAAACTTTTAACACTGCACTGTATTTTAAATGACTTTAGGTGCCAACTGCCAGTATTTCCGTGGAGGGTAATCCTGCTCTTAATCGTGTAAGATGGACCCATTCTGGAAGAGAGATTGCCGTGGGTGATTCTGAAGGACAGATTGTTATATATGATGTGGGAGAGGTATGGGGCTCACTGCCTATAATTTTGACACATCTATTTGGCTTTCACAACATAGTAGGAACGCTATCTTCGTGGCTAAAACTAGTCTTGGAGGTTCATGAATTATATAAACTATATGGTTGTAAAGATAATAATTACTTTCCACCATAAGAACGATGCTTGAGATTAATTTTCTTTCTAAACTGGATATCCAGTGTCCCCATACAACAGATTTTGAGGGCAATATCATATGTTAGAAGTACCTTGCTTTTTTTTTTTTTTAATATATCTTTATTGATTTCAGAGAGAGGAAAGGAGAGGGAGAGAGAGAAAAACGTCAATGATGAGAGAGTTATTAATTGGCTGCCTTCTGCACGCCCCCGACTGGGCATCGAGCCCACAACCCGGGCATGTGCCCTGACCAGGTATCGAACCCCGATCGCCTGGACCCTAGGTCGACTCTCAACCGCCGAGCCACGCCGGCCAGGCAGTACCTTGCTTCTTGAAGCATGCATTGCTGGAAGCTAGAAATTCTTTATGCAAAGTAAGAAATTTAGAGTTATAGTTGGACTTTTGAGCTTTACAGAATTTTATTTTTCTGTATTCATAGATTTGTTTAGACCAGGCAGTAGAAATCAGAAGTAATATTTTTTGAGAGTTATCTGATGACACTGTGAAATGTGAATCTTGGCTCTTGAGCTTATTGCAACAATGTTGTTATTGAATCCAACAGGATAAGTTGCAGCTCTCTCATAGTTAGAGCTTGGGTTGGCTGTATACAATGCCCAGGAGTGATTTCCTTTTTTTCAGTCCTGGCAAGTGCCTTAGTCACTTCTTTTTTACTATGCCTTATGATTCCCATCCTCTCTGGACACCCCAAGGCCTCTAGCAATTGGAAAGAGGTAAATTGAATCATTTAGAACAGCCAATTAAACTATCTACACAGATGGAATTGCTCTGTTTCTGCACTGTCCAGTGTGGTAGCCACTAGACACATATGGCTATCAAACACTTAATATGTGGCTAGTACAACTGAACTGAATTTTAGATTTTATTTAATTTTAACTAAATTAAACGTAAGTAGTCAGATGGCTACTTAGTAGTAGTCAGTGGCTGGTAACTACCATACTGGATTGGATTTCACTGTCCAACCTAATCTAGTTTTACAAGCAGACACATCCATTTGCCACAATGAATGGTTTGTGTCCTAATATGGTAATATCACATTCCTCCAATATTATAATAACAATTATCAAAAATGTGTGGTCATTGGACTGCTCTGGTGAGGAAGAAGATTCACAAACCTCTGTTCCCGTTTTGCTCTTGGTACACCACTAAAGTGGGAAGATTAAGGTGTCAATAAAGGTGATCTTATGCTCTAAACAAAAATAAGTACTTATGAAACCAGGTGTTTTTTTTGGGTTTTTTAAAAATTTTTGTTTAAAATATTACAGATGTCCCTTTTTCTCCCCAATGACCCATTCCACCCCGTCCCATCCCCCTCCCCAGTCCCTCTCCCCACCATTGTCCGTGTCCTTGGGTTGTGCATATATGCATATAAATTCTTTGGTTACTCTCTCCCCCTCCACCCACCCGCCCTCCTCCGTCCCTCTGACATTTGACAGTCTCATCTATGCTTCCAAGTCATTGAATCTATTCTGTTCATCAGTTTATTAAGTTCTTTAGCTTCCACGTATAAACAAGATCATGTGATATTTGTCTTTCGCTGCCTGGCTTATTTCCCTTAGCATAATATTCTCCAGGTCCATCCATACTGTCCCAAAGGGTATGAGATCCTTCCTCTTTACAGCTACGTAGTATTCCATGGTGTAAATGTCCCACAGCTTTTTTATCCACTCATCTACTGATGGGCACTTGGGCTGTTTCCAGATCTTAGCTATTGTAAACTGTGCTGCTGTGAACATCAGGGTACATATATTCTTTCTGATGAATGAAGAAACCAGCTCTTTTGAACCATGCTTCAAAAACTTTTTCATACTAGGAATGGTGCAAAAGGTAAAACTTTTTAAGATTTTCCTCCCCACCAGCAAAATTCATGAGATAGTGCATAGGAGTTACAGTTCCAGAGTCATTTTTACTTTCTTTCATGCTATTGGTGATAATAGCAAAATCCTTTCTGAGGCTGTCACAACACACTTCACAAACACTGTCTTTTGTTCCAAAATGTTGTAAATCATTGTTATAGTCCCTGTAATTATGGAAAGGCCATTCAGGTCAATTATTACTTTTTAATGGAAAAATTATTTGAAAACAAACTGAATAATAGTGAGTACATTGATCTTTTTTTCCACTATACATAAATATTGTCTTTCTTTTAACAGCAGGTTGCTGTCCCCCGAAATGATGAATGGGCACGGTTCGGGCGAACACTTGCAGAAATTAATGCAAACCGGGCTGATGCAGAAGAGGAAGCCGCTACCCGAATACCTGCTTAGCTCCAGAAAAGAGGATAGGTAGCCTTAGTGGATTTGGAGAAGACTCTAAGTAGATCCTAAGACTATTTGCATGCTTCTGTCAGAATGATAATTAAAAGGAAATTTCGTGGGTTAAACCATGGATATTATTAATGCAGTAAGCAAATCTTACAATGTCCCTTTTTATATAACATGCATCTTGTTTTGGATTTGTGTCATTTTTAATACAGCTGATTGACTTTACTGAATGCAGCCTTTTTTAATTCTTATACACAGGTGTATATTTGGTATTAGTTATTGTTTGAGTTCTTTTCAACTTAAAACACTGTATACAGTTATTTCTAAAGCACAGATTAAATAAGTTCTGCATATTTTTAAATAATCATAATTCCCTGTTATACTGACAATGTTCTACTAACCATAATATGTAGAAGCACTGGTGTGTCTTAGCCATAGCATGCGTACATCTACCCAAGTTACATTCTAGTATTTTTCTTCTTTATAATTCATGTGATAGCTATCTATAAATAAAAACAAATGTGGTTTAACTTTTCAAATTTTCATTTTGATTTACTTCTCACAGTTTTAATTTTTCCTTCTGTTATAAAGGTTTTTTTTCACATCTTTCTTTAAATTCCTGTTGTAAGCAGCCACTTCAAATGTCATAAAGCTTTTTGCCTTAAATATACCATACAGTATACTATAGATCTCCCAGTTCATTAGGAACTGATATGTAGATAATGTCAGTGAAAAACCTTTCTCCTTACCTCAGCGTTTGCTTTACTCACTGTTTTCTTCCATTTAAGATATGTTTAGTTCCAAGAATAAACAGAAAGCTGCCTGTTACTTTCACTGACTGAGAGAGCTGTGTATTGAGCTCTCTAAGACTAAAACCTCCTTTGGGAGAAATTGATGTCATGGTTGCAGTAGCCATGAGGACACATGTTCAAGTGAACTTTGTCATTGAATCAACTTCACACCTTGAGGCCTGTCACCATAACCGTCTACAGGTCTGAAAGGTAAGTGACAAATACCTAAGAATTAGTGTTGAAATCAACCTGTTTCAGGACTAGAAGAAAGGATTGCGATCAGATCTTGACTTTGTCCATGTTAAATGTCCCATTTCCTTGATCTTGACCTCTTGTTCTCCTAAAGCTTAACACTCATTTATTCAACAAGATGAAAGAGGAGGGACAGCCATCAGACTTGGAACATTTTCTGTGGTTTGATTTTTTTTCCCCCAAAGGCAAAGGAATATTTTATTCATAAACTGTATAGCAAGTAGGATATTTGCTATTTTATTCTTTTTTAAAGGCAGGTTTGTTGAGGTATAATTTACAAACAGTAATATTCACACTTTTTAGGTGCATAGTTCTATGAGTTTTGACCAATGTATACAGTTGCATACACTGCCACCAAGATATAGAATATTTCTATGGTTTGATTTTTTTTTAAAAATAATTCTAACAAAGCTCTTTTGGGAGATAAATTTCCAAATAATAAAACTTTCAAACTATGAATATTGTATAATGTAAGGAAATAACTGACCAGGAATATTAAACCTGACTCTGGTTCTCGCTCTGGCACTTATGAGAAGTGTGATTTTAGCCAAGTCTTTCCAGCCGTCTGTGTCTCATTCTTTTTATCTGGGAATTAAGTTTGGATTAGGTGCTTTCTAAATTGCTTTCCAGCTCTAAAATTATTAATTATAATTACTTCAGGCAATTCTCCATTTTTTTATATCTAGTTTTTATCAGTTTATACCTTGAATTGCCTATTATATACCAAAGATAAGTTTTTTGTATCTGCAGGCAAACATCTCAAGTCAGCAATGCCTGAGTCAGAAGTTTGATTTCAGCAGGGTCACACAGTCTTTGTATAAGGAAATTCATATAATCACTGTAATAGTTACTGTATTTTTGCCCTTGGTTTATAAAGTAAGTAGAAAAGGGGAAAACAATTATGACTGAGGTTGGAAATCAAGAGATACAGCAAATCAGATGCGCACTGGACTCAAGTTGATGTGTTCAATTTGTCAAAGAGTAAAATTGGTAAATACTTACCACCAAAGAGTTTTTGCTTTTGAGGATAAGTTCTTCTTCCCTCCCAAAAGTCCACTGTGGACCTTTACCCATTTAACTTAAGTCTACATTTTTAGGATCATATTAATTTAATGTGAGGAATTGCTTTTTAAGGTTGACTACATAATAGCAAAATAGAAAACACTGAGACTGTCAATATTGATATAAAATCTTCTGACACATTAAGCTGACTAGAAAAGTGTAGCACATCTCCTTTACACTTTAAAAAATGAAAACCTTTTTAATTTTAAAGAATATTCAGTTATGGGAATATACCTTATTTTTTTATTTATTTTTTTTCTGAGTGGGAAACAAGCCATAGCTCTCTAGCTAATTTTTGTTTTTGTTTTTATTGTTTCTCTTTTTGAATGAGAAAAAGATTATTGGTTACCCTTGTTTGTGTTGAAGAAGAATACTCAGTTTTGCAGATAGTAGTAAACTTGCAGTACATCTCAGAAACAATCATTTTTTGTTATTTAAACACACACAAAAAAATGTATTGGTAGAAGCTTCCTTCCTTTTTATAAATCCAGTTCCTTACAAAGTTTAGAAAATCCAGATATAAAATCTTGTTGGAATAATGCTGAAATACTGCATCTTGAAAGAATGGGTGGCTTAAAATTTAGGAGAAACTACAAGAAAGTAGTGTTAGAGATGACCCTACTCTTTTAATATTGTAAGAATGTTTATTCATTCTGTTTTGTACTAGTTCTGATAGACTATAAGCTCTACCGCTTGAAGCATGGAAAGGAAGGCTTGAATTAATGAAAATCTGGTGTGAAACCTATGATTTTTCATTTCCATTCTATTGGGCAGTGCATTTTTAAATGTCTTTTCCATAATCCCTGTATTTCAACACTGTCATTGTGAAATTTTCTAAATTAAAAAAAAGCTGTACAGTTAGGTACAGCTCTCCATCAGAGAGAATGGAGCTTCAGTTGTTTAAAACATGACATGGCATCCGAAGTGGTGGAGCCATGCCTGAATCTTGGGCATCAGTCTAGGGCAAAGCCATGAGCTTTGCCTTGTTTGAGTTAGTGATGAGATTCCCGTTGAGATTTTTCCCCAAGCTACATAGAGGCAGGAACAGAATTTGCTTTTCTGCTATCATCTTGCTGATTGCTAGGCAACTAGGGACCTTACAGATTTCGAAGAAGTACCTGGAAATCACTTTTGACTTACTAAAAAATGCTGGAAAATTATTTACTTACAGATCTGGTTTACAGATTCTGGGGGCTTCTAGTACTACCAGAGGAAGTTGCCCAAAGGCAAGAAGAAAAGAACACCCACATTCATTATTTCTTTTGCAGTAGAGGGTTACAATTAAGAACATTTCTTTTAACCAATTTCTTTAATGGTGCTGCCCCCAAAAGGTAATAATTTGCTTGTACCTAGTGTATTTTCTTTTTATTTGTTCATACTTAGTTTATTATGTTTTTTAAATCCTTTTCATATATAAGAAATACATTTTAGAAAAAAGATTCAACAATCTTAACCAGAATGCCAACGGGAAAACTTTGGGTACCCGTCATATAATTGTAATGCTTTTCTCAATAGGCCAATGCTCTCAGGCCTTTTGTTGGACTTTAGGTTTATAGATTCTTTCTGCCTGCCACAATTTCCTAGTCACAATTCCCCAACTTCCTAAAGTTCGAATGAATTTCAGGTATTTAAGTTTTCAGTATGTAGCTTCTTAGACACTGATAGTTTCAGCAGAGCCAATCAGCAATCTTTTACAAACTTTTCTAAAATTACAGTATTTTGTGTTGTTAGTTTCATAGCAGGAACCTCAGTTTCGGCTTCTTAATATTCCATTACCAGCTCCAGTCAGAGGATGGAACAGCTTGCACTCAGGTGAGCTTTTAGAAAGGTCTGTTTCACTTTGAGGTCATTTATTCAGGTCTCTGGCAATGTATTATCCTGCTTCTCTTTTAATGTACTTGATTTGGTCAGAAAGCTGTAGGGCAGTGATTGTGTGGGGTGTAGAACACGCCTACGTGTTGCTGAACATGCAGAGACCTGGCTCTGTGACTCCGGAAATCAGTATACCACCGGTAAGGCTTTGATGGCAAGTAATTTTATCTTTTGTGAACTTTTGTACTAGATTTTCTTTTAAAACTTTTTTCTGAACAAAGTAATGGAAGTGCTTTGGAACAGAATCCCTTATAACTTAGGGCAGCCTGGTATATGAGGAAAAGAACACTGGGCTCAAAAGACCCAAGTTGTATTTTCCTGATACCCTCATTACCAGTAAAGTCACCGAGGACACGGATTAGTATTGTCATCTGTTAAGTGAGGAAAATATTTACTTTCTGTGAAGATTACATGGGATATTATGTATGTGAAGATCTTTGTAAATTATGAAGTACCACATAAATAAGGGCTTTTACTTCTTCATAATTTTTAAAATACTAGAATGGAGACTATTTTGTGTAGCCATATGTACAGTGTAACAAGATCTCATCTAAGGCTTGGTATTAAAGGAAAAAAAAATTTTTTAATTCTAAGAAATCACAATTTGAACCCTCAGATATTTAGGAGTAGCAATAAACTGAGGGGGAAATATTAATTGCCCTTAGCCCAGAATATTTTCCTAGGAATGTTTTCTCTTATTCTGTGGTCTAAATACAAATTATGCTAGTAGAAAAAAAATGACCCACTCTGAATTTCCAGCCTACATTAAGCGACTGCTCTTGTGTTAGTTACATATAGAACATGGGTTGTGATATCTGGAGTCTTAGAAAAGAGAAGGTGGAACCCCTTTTTCAAAACAATGAGAAAACAATTTTGATTCCAGACTAACCCAGCTACATAGTAGCACAACTGGAATCAGTCACTTCTACAAAAATCTGGGGAACAGCAGCTATTCAACTGCTACAACTTCATACCCTTCCTCCTTCCTTGGGGCCAGTCCCCTTGGAAATAACATGTTTACTGTAGGAAGATGATCACTAGAAGGAGGAGCTTTGATCCTTAGGGACCTGTGTGTGGCTGTCAGGCTTAGGGGAAGCCCTAAATTTAGTCCTGCGGGAATAACTTTTATCTGACTCACATTTGGATTGGCAGGTCTCTGCTGTCTCATTGTATCTAAAATATGATTTCCAGAAACAAGTCCAGACTTGTTAATGAATACCAATTGAGCAAGAAACTTGGTAAAATGACTCGGCCCTCCCTATGGGCCTCATTTCCAATAATGTTTGAAACAGTCCTGAATCTGTCAGTACAGTGAGGGCCATTACATAGATTTGGAGGATGTTTCATCTTCCAGAGGCCTTCCTGAAACTCAGGAGCTACTTAAGTAGGATTTGTATCAATTGAGAAATAAGACTTTTGTATGTTGTGTTGAAAATCAGGTAAGGAGTACAATGTAATTCATAGGAGCCTTCCTCTGGGTGTTTCTGCTCCCCATCTTTGGTGAATCCTTCATCTTTCTAGACCCTCACCCTCTCTCTTGTAAAATAAATGCTGCAGT